TTGTCGCCTATCAAACCCAAAGTTAGTCGTGACTCGTGTTTTTAGCCAACTGGTCTCCACGTCAAGGTACTGTCGCAGCTATTTTGGAGCTACTCCTCGAATACCGCCTCGTACAAGTATGAGAGCACAACATGTCCATTGTGGGGGTACTGACTGATTGTTAGGTCCGCGGGACACCGGCTAGTGGGAAATCTACGCTCCTGGCCTTGCTACGGGCCCATATCGTGCAGGTTGATAAAAAAGCCAACGTTTTCGTTTACAAAAACTGGCCTCAAAACGAGTTGGAATCCGATGAATATCGTGTCGAAACTAGGCTGCCCGAATACCCAGGATTTGATGACAACAAGCAATTCTTGCTTTTTGACGAAGGGCAGCAGAGCTATTGGGACACCAGGCTGTGGAAATTTTTCAAAGACGAAGTTCAAAGGCGTGAAGCCCCCATCTACGCCATCATCTTTTGCAGTTATGGCAACGAGAATTTAAGCGATCGCAGGATCCTTACGCCAGTCGGGTTTGACGCGAAAGTGACTCTCGAGCGTGTTCAAATCGGAGACTCCAAATCATATGGACTGCTATTACACGAAAAAGAATTCGACGAGGTCCTCGAGCGTCAAAAACCAAAGTTATATGTCGCAAGTGATCTACGTGATTTCATATATAAATTCACACGAGGTCATGTTGGGCACACTTTGGCCGTAGTAGATTTTCTGGTGAAAAAGGTACGAATTCTCAATATTCAGGCGATCTGATACTGATTTATTTTGTAGCGAGAGGGGTTCATGTTGAGTGGTCATGAATATGATGTGGACAGTTTCCACCAAGATAATCCATCCTACGACGAGTTCAACCACCACCTAGTAAAGCATTCTGTGATCCACCATGGATTCCCTTACGATCCGGAACCATACATTCTGGCAATGAAGGAGCTCCTCCTTCACGGCGAGATCGTGTTCAACGACCACAGTTTTAATCAAGATACTCTCTTGAAGCTCAAAGAAGCTCATGAGAATGGGTTCGTTGAATTAAATGAGGACAAACGGTATACTTTTCCTTCACCACTCATCCGCCAGGTATGGTCATGGCATCTACTACCGTCACCCAACTATCAACTCCCCTACACGGATTTATTCTCGCTTGTGAAAGCTACAGTTGCTCACTTCAGACCTTCACAACTGACCGGATCGGACCGCCGCATAGGTGCCTCTGACCATCGACCACCCAAAGCCCAGTACCAAGACGAGTATTACCGTTGCGTTCACGAGATAACCAATGGAAACGTTAGAATTTCTCCTGAATATGCTGCAGCTACCGGAACTCGGGCTGGTCGGATCGATTTCTTCATCCCCTCAAAAAAACGGGATCTCCTGAAAGTGTTATGACAAGACTTTTCGTCTTATATACCCAACGAAGTATAGATTAACCTATCTCTTCGCGGCGGCTAGGCCCGGTGAACTGAGAGGGTGGTGCATAGAAGCTGAGATTGAGCGAATTCTTCGAAGCCTACAACCAGACGCCCTCAACACCATTCCCGAC